ATGTAAAATAATGAATGCCGATTGGTCATCCCTTGTCTTCAGTAAAGAATTCAAAACTTTTTGGAGTGCGGGAGACGTTGACATCGACGCTCAACCCGGTATATACTGATCAGATAGTATTCCTCTGAACTTTGAAACTCTCCCTTGTAATTTTAACCTTTTATTTTTCTGACAGAAACAAATCTTTTATAGTATTCGTGAGACTGTCAGGCGGACATTCGTTAAGTTTTGCATCGGTTTTTATTTTCGAGAGGTGAAAGTATAATAGCAAAGGTAGAAGGTGGGCAGTATGGTTTGAACCACTGGCGTGCCGTGACATTTGATGATAGGGAAGCTGTGTTTCTGTAAGAAGCAGACATCCAGGGGCAATCAGTCAATTGCTTGTCACTGATGGTCTAGGCTCTAGGGTCCATTGGTATCGTTTATTCAATAAGCCAGTAAAAACCGTAGACTTCTCTAAATGCATTTTTAATATCACAATTACATTCCGAATCGCTAGCCACGATATAAGGGCTACAATTAAAAATAAAATAATAAAAACTTACTTGGTGAAATAAAATGTGTGGTGGATATAACGGTACATATCTGGTACAAAATATTCTTCAATTGTATGAATATATAATTGCATACTTTAAAGAAAATTATAATTAAATATAACTTTGTAAAGAAACGTACTGTACATATAAATAACATAAAATATTCTTTACTTTTTAAATCTTAAAACAATCCACTTACTTGTTAGTCAAATAGCTCACTACCAGTGGCTAATGGATGGAATCGAAGACGGTTGCACAGCGTGCATACACGCGGACTGCCAAATCCCGACGGTGCCGATACCGGTCAATGTCAAATACCTCTTTTGTCGCATCACTAGTATATCTCAAAGGACGCGACAGGATTGTTCTAAATTTTAAACGTTTCTCACCATAGCTGTAAAAATCTAAATATGTTAAACTTAATAGATTGTCCGTCATTTGTTTTCTAACTAATTCGTTTTAGGGCCAGATGTCCACGGAAATTTCCAAATTTTACAACTTTTCGGTCACTCTTGTTGAACTGGAAAAACTTCTGTTTATATTACGTCTAATATTACGAAGAAATCAGTCCCCGCTCTACTCGGCTAGAGATTGGGTCGGTTAAGCTTTTAAGTAATATTCTGGTTCTTTCAGCAGGGTTTTATTTATGTCCCCAATTCCCTAATCTCTTAATTATTTAACTATTTCTTAAGTAGAAATAAGTCGAAACCAGTTACTTTGTACTCGAATATTTATAGTCTTGGGAAAAAAGTGGAAAGACAAATTTTTATGACACGGATACATAAATCGTAAATTTAAGGAAAATAAATTATAGAGCTTTTTCTGTACCTCGTGCATCTCATTCATTAAATTTAGTTGTAAATTATGCTACCAAATTAACAGTTAATTTTTTAACATTATACAAGAATTGTGCATGTTTTTTTTCTACATCCCCTTAAAGATGGGACATACGAAATCGTAATATCACTGGTTTAACATTGAAATCCGTAATATAAAATCGGAGAGCGGAATAAAAATATCAAATATTTTAACGAATTTTTTAAAACTGTTAACTATACAGAAAACTATCATAAAAACATACAGGTAAATTCTTATCGGTCGGGTTAAGTTATAAATCTACTCGTGATTCACGTAATTGGGCGAGGGCGACCAAATATCTAGCAGGCGGGCGGCTAATAGCCCAGAACCGGTCGTAAATGGAATTGGATGCGTTATACGTGTAGCAGCCAGCCGAGGTCCTAGGCTTCCACCGGCTAAACCGGGTGAGGTTGGTGCTCTGTAAAGCACATGCGCGAATCTGGCATTTTGGATGCTGACAATACAGCGTTTCCACTCCGCTACTCCGCCACTAATATTCGAATATACAATAGCAATCTTATCTTTTTTTCACGTGTAGTATAGAAATTTGTAATAAGATACGTAACTAGCAGGTGGGCCCGGCGTTGCTCGGGCAAAAGTAACAATAGCGAAGATTAAGATTATTACGTTATAGTTACAGTGACCATACGTCCTTTATTTAAGAGGACAGTCCTTTATTTCACTGCTCTGTCCTTTAACTTTATTTATTTTCTAAAATAAGCATTTTGTCCTTTATTTTGTAAAGATGATGCAAAGTTTAAAGAAATTTTTTTTAATAATATATTGAACAAGTTAGTTTTGTATACGCCATCAAGACCAGTGTTGCATTGCTACATAGAGCGCAGTAGTGCAGTGTGTTACCAACCAAACGGCCCACTGACAGTACCAGGGGTTTCTTCCTATTGTTATTAGAAAAGCGGTTTTAGCATTAGAAAAATCAGAAAATATACAAGCCAAAAAATGCAATGATGCTGTGTACACATTTTATCAAACGTGCATAGATTATCTAAATAATTGGGACATGTTTTTTTTT